CCATCTGTCTTTACGATCATTTCAGAGAAGTAAGGCAAGTAGAAAGGAAAAAAATAGAGTTGTAATGTCGTGGCTGTAGGATGGATAGTGGAGTCTATTGGTGCTGTACTGAATGCAATGGAAAGATGATGATAAAATGCACTGATTGATTAGAACATTTTAACTGATAAGTGTCGAAGGAACTGCAATCTGGTTTCCATGGGATCAGATCTGTGAAGGTCCTGGCTGCCATCTAGTGGAGCTGTGATGTACCTATAGACAAAAATAAATAGATAAATTGCAGATATGGGAATAGCAGAGAATTTACCTGAAGGTAAAATATCTTTGTTACTTGAGAAAAGATAAAGTAGCTAAAAGGTCGCATGGACACCAATGAAACTGAGGTCAGAACCACACCATAATTACAGAAAACAGGATATAAATGAGCACTGAAGTCATCTCACCCTTTATTCTGAGAAAGCTCAAGTCCTCCCTGTCGAACTAGGGAAAAGGGAATGAACAGATGTAGCCCTTCAACCTGGAATTGGCTTGACCAGAAGAAAGGACAGTACAGGCTGAGCATGGAGCAAGGATTATCATCATCATCTACAGAGTTCTGCACACTCTGACTTCCATACAGACAAAAGAGTGTGTCAAGTTAAGGGAGGGCAATAGGGGAAATAAAAAAAAAATCAGATATATTTCAGCCATTTGTGTAGACATGACAGCATTATTTACATTTTCATACATTATGTACATTATTAATTACATTGACTGCATCTTTTCCTGTAACTTTAAGAAATGTGTTCGTTGTCCACTTTAATACAGCAGTCTCGTTCAGTCACATACAAGATCACAAGACAATACTATTGCTGTATAAAATTACAAATAATCTTTCTTTTCTCATATTTTGAAATATTTGTATATATTAAAAATGATAACATTTGAGCCCAAATATAGTACAAAAGTCGAGTACAAAAATCATGTAACATTCATGATAAGTGAAATTCTCTTTTTAAGTGCTTTGGTTTTCATATTTCCACAGTATGTCATCAAATCACGTCTGCCGTGCAGGAAGTTCATCATCACTGATGGTGGATTTGCTTTACAGTAGGCAAGACGTGATTAAAAGGTTTATTCTTCATAGCATAATTTGCAAGACTTCCACCTTAAGAACACCCTGCTCATATCTTAATTTGATAAAATGAGAGCACAACTCAAGCTAGACAGTGAAGATATAATTGTCTCTCTTGCAATCAAAGCTGATATAGATTGCACATCTGACCTCAGTTTTAATTTTCAGACCTCTCCCAATCATCAGGGATCAGTGCTGCTAAGTGCCCTTTCGTGCTTGTGCCCAATCCATTGAAGGTAGACAAGGACAGCTCTCTTTCCCTATAAATACATACAGGCAACATTGAAGAGATGAAATATTAGTGCTTGGGTGTGTTAAGGGCTTTTGGTTTAGGTAAATTTTTTACTGCTAGAGTTTTTATTAGAATAATAAATTTCAATAAATCTTACTAAATATGTTGGGCTATATCTGTTTTTATGTCAGCTCTTCTTTATGGTTTCCTCTGACAAGGTCAATGTCCTTATGACTGTAGGATATCCCTTGGTGAGGTGGTGTTTAATGTATTATAGTTTGAACTGTAATTTAAATAGAGCAAAATATTGAAATAGACATTGAATCATAAAATATCCCCAATTGGAAGGTAACCATGGGGATCATCGAGTCCAGCATTGTTCTTTAGAATCTGAAATTGTCTCATTACATAAAAAACAATGATTGTTACTCGTATCAATGTTAGATAAAGCCAGAAATCATTCTATGATGCATCACTTCATTTTTTAATATCAAATGTATGCTGTTAGTCAGAGGCACCTTGCCCTTCCTACTGATCTCAAGGTTATTGACGGTCATGTAGAGTTGGGAAGCAATGTAAGGCACTAGGCTACACAGATTCTATGAAAAACAGTGTAAAAGGGTGATGGCCTGCATTAAAAAAAAAGATAAAAAATTCAAGGGCAAAGTGGATGAACAAAAGTCTTACAGGAAATATTATCTGAATGTGTAATGTTGAAGAAACTGCTCAAATGCCAACCATTGGGAAGACTTCCATTAAAAAAAAACTAAAATATGGAAGATGAGGTCTTCAGTGAAGCCATCCTGTCAAAATTAGTGTTTATTTTTGGCAGATGCCTTTGAGGGTTTTAAGAGAAAAGATAATCAGTACCGTGCAGTTGGTTGTGATGCAACGTGAAAGCCAAGTCCAAGTGATTTCAGTTATTTGGCAGTGGCAGAAATGAAGCACGTTTCTGCTTGCTGCAGCCTGCGGTGCGATTAGCTCAGACAGCTTGCCCAGGAGCTCTGATTTACTTCTGTCTTTACTCATTGCAGAGTAAACCCTGCAGCAATTTCCACACCCTGAGCCTGACTTTCTCACTCCAGGTCAATTTTTCATTGTTCTGGCCCCACTCCAAGCAAAAGGAAATCATACTCAGCACCGTTTACTCTTCAAAGGTCAAGAATTTTCTGTTGCTCACATTTTTCGTACCTATTTTACAAGTTTTCACGTGACGGACAGGAATGTGCTGAAACATAAACTTATGCAATAGGTGTGCATATGTTCCTAGTAAAGTGAGCTAAATAGAAATGATCTAAATTCAGTGCAATTCCCTTCCTGAAAAACAATGAAGACTGTGTGGGTTTTAGTTTTGTGTAACACAACATAATCAAGATTAAATTTGCTTATAATGTACCGTAATTTTTGCCACGTTCTCTGCATTTTACTTCTGTTCATGTTAGCTGAAATGATGTTTGAATGCAGCCAAATATCTTCCTTACTATATGTTCTGAAATGCAAGTCAGGGTTGTTCAAACAGATAGCTGGTATTCTTGATTCAGAGGGTTTGGGGTGCAAGCTCTTAATGCAGGCTTCTATAAAAGCAGAGAACAAGAGCCCTGAGAAATCTGTGCATTTATGTGCTTTCGTATCTATTCATAATATGTCCATTTAACCTCAGTATCATCATGGTAATATTATTTCAGAGTTTGAGAACCTAATTACCAGCCAGAAAATCCAATTAATACAGTAAGTATTTATAATACCTAATATGACATGTTATACCACTGGTTGAGACATGGAGACAAGCAAAATGCCATCACATATTCAGAAACTGGGTGAGCCAGACAATGACTGATCTCTTTAGAAGAAGGAAGAATTTTGATTGTTTTTTAATCTCCTTTTACCTTCCAGTTATAGTGCATGATGGCCTTCAGGGGAAATTTTGCAGTTAATTGTACAACAGAAATGCAGAAGTTGTAGGAGATTTTTTTATATCTAAATGTCTGTGGGTAGAGGTGGGTAACATGTAGACTTTTTACTCTAACTGCTTACTCTGGTCTCTCTTTCTAATGGGTAGAGGCCACAATCTCCTAAGGCTGATACACCTCCTTTTTCAGGAAAGAAGACTCACTCAAATACTTCTGCTACAGGTCATTTCCATGCCACTTTTGCATACTAGCTGGATGCTCTATATCAGTGAAAGCCATGCAAATTTACCTCTGTTATTCACTTGAAAGAAATCATCAACCACTCAGCATGTTCTTCCATCTCGCTCGTCTTCAACCTTTTTGGATAAGGAAAGGAAATAAAAATGAACGACACCATAGGGCCTTCAACATAACCTGTGTTCTATGGAGAAATGGAAACAAACACCTTCCCACACTCTGTCAGACTCTCCTCCAACACTCAGCACTGAAATCGAACATGGCTGCATTTTTCACAAGCTGGAGGGAAGAAACAAAGAGAAAAACACTTGTTTAAGAGGAAGGATGATACCTCCTTGGCATTCAGCTTTCAGATGTAAACTAGTTCACGTGACATTCCACTTTTTCTAGTTAGCTATAATTCCGTTAACTATAATTATCTGGATAGAGTGAAGGAGAAATGAGGACAATTCCACATGTTGTATCACCATTTCTGTTGCAGAGTGGTACTGGAACATCCCAAAGAGTGGAGTAAAAATGCATTGTATGACAGTCCTTGCTGTTCAGTACCGTTTAGCCTTCCTCATTCCTTTCCAAGCTCTGATGTTCCCCACAAAGAGGCGAATCAATCAGTTCATCTACAGATTGCAACAATCATTTGGGAAAAAGTAAAATCACAAATCCAAATAATAGAAGTGCACATTTATTTACAGGCTTCTGAACATATTACAACACTGGTGAGCACAACCAGTCAGACATGAGAAAATACTTAGCAATATTCCTAATGTTCCCCTAGCCCTTCTCTTCTGTGCAGAACACATTTATTACTTTTCTATTGAATTTGCTTGCAAAGAGCAGTTGTTTCTTAATGACTATATTATAGAGTCGTGTCTTCTTCTTTCTGATATTTGGTTTTCAGAAGACTTCTATCCTGCAGTTACTGGAATAACTTTTGAATATGAGAGTATATTTGTTTTTACCATTTATATTGAGACTATTTTACATAAATAGAGAATAGAAGAAGAAACAGAAGTTTTTAGCCATTTGTTGCAATTTGTGTTGCAGTTTGACAAGGCATTTCATTTCCTATTTGCATCTCTACAGAGTTGAAATAAAGAACAAAGATTGAACAAGCTGGATAGACTCCTGTTCCCATTGTGTGAAGATTGAGTACTCATTTCCAGAGCTGGTCATCTATGGTGTCACTATGGCTCCTGGTGCCCACTCCCTGACACATTATGCTATACAATTCATCAATATAAGAGAACATGGACAGGGAATGAAAAAGAGGCAATATCTGCAGTTTGTGTTGCAATAGTGTATCCATGAGAGGGCGATTTTAATTGGAAAATCAGTCAATCCATCACTTTAGCACTTGTAATGATAGCTGGTGGGCAGAATTTCTGCAGAAGTGGATCTTCCTCGAATTTGCTCTCAATAAACTGTCATTGTTAAGGATTTTTTTGCTGTTGTTTGTTTTCCCAAATCAAGCTTATTATTGTGATTACTCCAGATTCGGAGGCTGTCCTTAGCACACAGATGTATTCATTTTTACTCCAGAACTGGTTGGCACAGTCCATCTTGTCCTTCTCCAAACTGGCACAAGTCCATACCTCTTACCGTGCCATCTCCGCCCAATTTCCGTTTGCACCTCAAAAGGAAAGGAGAATGTTATTATCTGGACTCCTACTGTTGGGTAGGAGAAGGGTGGGAAAGAGGAAAAACACAACTGGTGGGAAGGGAAGGGAAGGGAAGGGAAGGGAAGGGAAGGGAAGGGAAGGGAAGGGAAGGGAAGGGAAGGGAAGGGAAGGGAAGGGAAGGGAAGGGAAGGGAAGGGAAGGGAAGGGAAGGGAAAATAACTTAAGGTTTCTAATTTTAGAACTGAAAAAGATTTTCTCCACCAATAGAATGCTTTCTTAGCTTTTTTTCAGTATATTCTGTCCTTTTCTCTCTCTCTCTCTCTTTTTTTTTTTAATTTCTAAACCCTTCAGAAATTTATTCCAGGAGTGATGCTACCAATACCATCTGTGCAATTAAACACATTGTCTCCACATTGTTTGCTTTCCCCAATTACTAAGAGATGTCTTCTTGTTCCCATCTGTTTCTAGAAGAGTATAATTTCCATTGAATTCCTTAGTCTACACTCCACGTTTATGACTAAGAAATAATACTACTTTGCTATTTAAGATAGCAAGGGGGAAAAGCCACAAGCAATCATTTGCTTTCTGCTGTTGACAAGCATGTGTGCAATGCCTTGGCATGTTCACAGAAACACACACTGTGTCCAGACCAGACACCAAAGCCTGTTTTAACATCTGAATCTCATTAGAAATTTGTCTTCCCAGATGCTCAATAGGAAGGAAATGTCTAAACTGAAGTGCTGGATGTCTGCAGTGTTAATCTGGATGTAAAGCTAATGAGTTTATCATCAGAAGAGATTAGAGACAATTAATAATCTCTGGTGAACAGGAATATTAGCTGAATACAATTAAAAAAATTGCAGTCATAAACTCAACCAAAATGCTAAGGAGTGCGAAAATATTTGAAGTCACTCTGTTTAATATTTGAGAAAATTCTTACTAAATAATCACTAAAATATTGACCATGGCAGAGTAGTCAATTAAATACTGTTTTCAAGCTTAATCAGCCCAAAACTTTAGGCTTGGAAACTGGAGATCTAGTCAATACAACCCAGGAATCAGATGCCTCTATCACAGATGATTGCATTTTGTACTTGAATCTTTCTCTACATTTCACTGTTATGTTTAGGAACACGGTTCAGCTCCTAACCACAGCTCTGATACCCTCAGGGCTGGTGCTCTGTGTGGTGCCATACATTAATCTTAAAAACTCTCCCTTCATAGGAGCGACAGGTAGAAATTCTAGAGGATGGAATAGCTCATTTCTCCACTAGATGGCTTCATTCTCATGAAGAAAATTGAAATGAAAATCAACTTCACCGATCCCTGCGTTAACAGACTACTCAGTGAAACTAAAAAAAATTAGTAGATTACCTGCTTGCAGGATACTAAGTATTAACTCCATAAACCTGCATGTGAAATCAGTATTTTAAAGGATGTATTTCCCTTACCTCTTGGTTCAGGAAACAGTAGAGGAGTGCTACAATAAACCCCTGAGGATAAACACAAAACAAAAGAGCAGTTGAGTGTTATCACTGTTTGAAAAAGCCACTGGCACAGATTCCATGGAAGTGAGCCAGTTAAAGTAGAGTATTTTTACAAATCATGTACCTCCAGCAAAGCCCATCTGTCAGGTAATCAACTGGTTAATTGCCCATCACCAAAGTCAGTAAGGTCATAGAAATTCACAAGAATGCACAGTACAGCAAATTAACCCTCAAATTATGTTTACCAATGTATGCCCCTTCTACAGCCAAGGAGCTCATAAGGCTTTTCTGTCAACTTCTGTCTTAGCAACAGATCAAATGAGATAACATTTTTGCCTCCTGAATACATTTACAGAGTTTCTAAACTAAGATAAGCAAAGGAAAATCTGAGGATGACGGTGCATCTGTATAATCAGCTACTCACTAAACACATCATCTTTTTGTTCAGCTTACTTTTTTCTTACTTTGTTAGTTAACAGTGAAGGGCAGATCCAGCTATGGAGGCTCAGAATTCAGTTGTTGAATTCAGTTGTTCAGGGTGATTGTACAGGATTGGCACAATGAGTCAAATTTGCACAAGGACTGAACCAGCACAGCTTGTGGGTTTCCAATAATGCTCACTGACAACTGATGCCATGCAGTCATTTAGAGAGAGATGTGCTTCCTTTTGAAGTTTGGTAGGATTGCACACATCTGTTTCTTTTAGACTCTGAGATGTGCCACAGAGACAGAGAGGAAAGCAAAGGGAAGCAGAGTGCTGTCTTGCTTTTAATTCAGGCAGTAAATCTACCTGGAGGGGTATGTCAGGTTGCTGTTCCAGTTGGCAGCAAGCTCATCGAGCTGTTCATGCCTTGTATGCCATGTGTGTCAATTCAAAGTACTTGGGACACCCAAAGTACATGAAACAATTTTTTCTTACCACAGAGGGGAAACACATAAAATTTCCCGGAGCATCAGACTGTCTGAGGTATCTACACCCAACAAAGCTATTTTTTTAATGTATTTGAACTATCAATTTATTCCTTGCCAAAGAATTGGAAAGGGGGCAGGACCTACAGCTTTGATTGCCTCTGGTTCTTCTATCATCAGGCCCAAATGGATTGATCTTGTCAGTGAAGTCAGGGAAGGCCTATGGGCTGCTAACAAAGATGGCTTTGTCCTGTCTAACTTGGACCCAATGTTGAACTAACACACGTATATCAAAAACTTGGTCTTGTACTGGCGATCTGCAAATACACAATCCAACATACAGCCAGGTAGGATATGTATTGCATCCTCAGATCTGTATCCCAGCAAAGAACCTTGAGGAGATACTATCTTCAAGACACAATTATCTTTTGTTTGCTCCTAGGTGTCACATAGGTACAGGATTAAATGGGAAAATCTACAAAGAAGGAACTGAAGTTTCAGCAGTGAACTTACCTGAAAAGATCCAATGCAGAGCTCTAAATAAAGCCGAATGCCAAGGCTGGTATATTCCGGAAGAAAGTTGAAGACAATGTAATGGGTTCCAAATAATGGAATTAGAAGCAGAGTTGACCTTGAGAGGCGTCTAACACGAGCCATGAGAAGAAGTAAGGGAATTATTTTTTCAGAGTAAAGACTAACGCATGCAATATGTAATAATAATGAACAAAAGTTAGTGAGGAGATCTAAATATCTAGGTATTGAGTTCTTATCTCCTTGGACTATAATGCTAGCCAGAAAGCATAATGAGAAAATAGCTGGAAAGACACTTCTTGTGCTTATTGCCTTATTAAGAAGACTATATTTATGACTTCAGGTATTTTGGCATTCACTTTTCCAAATGAAATTGTAGTTCTGGAAAAAACAAGCAGTTGAATATATTTTGCTCTACTTGAGCCATTTAATTTTTGATATTTATTTGTAAATAAGCGAAGATGAAGAAATATGCAGTCTCCTTGTGTAGTTCATGTCCATAGAAAGACAACTCCAGATAACAATTTACTCCCTTGCTAAGTTTCAAAGGGAACAAGATAGCATTGGGAATTTCTAATATTAAATGCCAGGAAAACTGAGGCTGGTTTTGGCTCTGGGCACATACATCTGTTTAGTAAAATTATATAAACTTTTGTGATTAAAGTAATTGGGTTTTTTGTTCCATACACTACCTGTACTGAGATGAGTTATTGAAGTTGATTTGTCTAGGGTCTAGTTTTTTCAGCAAAATTCTGATGATGTTGATAAATAGGACAAAATTGACCTGTTAAAAATTTTTTTTGGAAAAAAAAAAAAAAAGAGATTACTTTCTCACATTAAACTTTTCAATGAACATCGTTATTTGCCTTCAGTTACACTGTCATTTGTATGGTTTCAATGAAACCTGTGAAAGATTATCGTTATAATAATCCCCATTTGCAGCTTTCAACCCTCTCAGTAGGTTGCATTCCCAGAAGAGGAAATCAAGATGAGAACTTGAGAATTTACCTCTGTTAAGCAAGCTACTTTTGTCCGTATCTCATGTGATTCATATTCTTTGTAGCTAATATTTTTATTCTTGTTTGAGCTGGGTATTGCATTTCTTTAGACGTTAGAATTCATCCTGTTGAATATAAATAGCTACGAAGGCTGCATCTGAGCTGATCACCCTGTTCTCTCTTTATAATCAGTGGAGAGTTGGGGATCATCACTTCCAACCTCAGACATCAAATGATTCACATACCAGTGGTGCCTGTTTCTCATGGTTGACTCTGAAGAAAGCTGAGGAATCTCAGCTCCAGAGCTGGCTAGTGTCAATCCTAACTTGCAAAGTAAATTTTATCCAGTTGCTATTTGGCATAGCCCTGCTAAAGTCTATGGATCAGCTTAGCACTCTAAAATCCATCAGTGAAACTTTAAGTACATCCCAGCAGAGAATTAGTTCATCACTGTAATCCCCTGAATCAAATGAGGATATCAGAAAGAAAAATAAGCAGAAAACTAATTGTGGTAGAAACAAATGTCACATTTTATTGGAATGTGCAACTATGACCAGTGTTAAAAATGAGATTAGTCATTTATGTTGTTATATATGCCTTATTTGTATGCATCTGTCATCCAATTAAATTAATCTTTAGATAGATGGCTTTAAAGCCAGCCATGCACTCTAAGAACAGCTGATATCTCTCAGATTCCTCGAGCTTAGTGACAATTAGGAGTAATCATATAGCATAATCATTTAAGGCCCATCAGTTTATTCAGTGAGCATAAAAATCAAAAGCTATTATTATTATTATCTTTTGTGAAATAAATCTATTACTCTTGAAAATTTATATTAAAATTTAGGGCTGATTCAGGATTATTAGTCTAACACCTCACTTTTCAAATACTGTAAGAATAGTTTAATCACTCACCACCAATTTCAATCACACTAAAAATTCCAGGAAAATTTCAATTCTTTGAAAAATGTTTGCTGTAAGTAATGGGGAGAGGGCAGTGCTCTGCCTTTTTCTGGCCTACACTGGAACGTAGATAAGTGATAGAACATTTTTACAGTACAAACTCTACCATTCCTCTTCCTGACTTCAAAACTAAAGTATTTCATCAAACAGTAACTGAATTTGCATTTAGAAGACTGTTTGTTCTTCTATGTAGTGTTCACAGAGTTAGAAATACTTACCCCAACAGAAATTATAATAGGTCCTTTGATTAGCCACCAGTAAGGAGAGTCTTGATTAATATCCCAGCATCTGAGAAAATACTAATAAGTTTAGAAAAGAGGTGTACATAACCTCTGCAATCAAGACACCACAAAACAGTGCCAGAGAAATTCTCAATAGATGAACTTTTTATGGAGGTGTAGGTATACTGCAAGTACTCAGATATGTATCTGCTTTCTACAAGACATATTTTCTTATAGATTATTCTACTCTCTTCAAAAAGCTACAGAGCTATCATGAAGCATTAAAAGACAGCCAAGAATGTGACAGTTCCAATAAAACACTTGAACAGATGACAGATGTAAAGATACAGATTTCTTCTTCAAAGACACATATTTAAAATGTGAAACAGTTTGTCTGAACCTCAAGGTTCAGAAAATCCAAATGTGTTTTGTATCAGAAGCTCCAAAAATTCTGCTGTATCATCTTCCTTATCTGATTGGAATCTCTTTTTCTCTTGCAGCCAAATTAAATATATCTACTTCCTGGGAAGGTTGCCCTACACAATTACAATACTGGTGCCAGATTATACTTTAGTAGACGGTGTAATCCCCATTCACTATGTCAACAGGGGAATGGAAACTCAGAACTCCACTTATCTAAATGGTGATGTAGAGAAAGGAAGGCCAATAACATACTGATATTCTTTTCCCATATCCATGACATGAGCCTTCATAGCTACCATAATTTTTAAAATATAACTCATGTAGTAATGTAGGAAACAGTGACTTACGCTGTGTCTTCAAAGTAGAATTTTGCTAATATCCAGATAAAGGTGAAAAGTGTTGGAAAACCTGTCAGACAGTAAAACAAAAAACTTTGTTTTCTGATTTCACCAATTAATCAAAATCTCCCATTGGAACTCTGCTGAGATGCCTCATCTCAGCCATTTTTGGAACTGGAATTATTCTTTGTGGGTCCCTAAATCTCACGGAATGAAACAAGATGTAGCGTTGACTATTTGGTGATCATGCATCAATGTGAAATGTAGGGGAATACAGAAGCTGCTTGCACATGGCCTAGTGATGCCAGGAAGGTCTGAGCTTGCAACTTCTTACCCACATGAACACAATTCACATGTGATCTTACCTAAGCACTTGCATGCAGATAGCACATTAAAACCTAGATTGATGTAATGGGTTGTTTTCACATGAGAAAAAACTAACAAATATTGTCTATCAGTTCTTCAAATAATAGCAATATGAACAGTTTGCAAATACTGATTGTGATGCACTCCAATTTAAACCTTCCTTGAAATCTTCCTAAAACACAGAGTGATTGATATTCTTAGTTGCCAAGCTCACCTTAACCTTTGTGTCAACATCCATGGATTCCTTTCCTGAACTGACCCAAACTTCCCTTGGTCCATATATCCAAAGGAGGAAGTTCTCTGATTTTTGATTTCCACAGTGAGTTTTCATGGACAGATACTTAATGCAAATCTCCAGATGTACTTATTTTCCAATTTCTTTCGTAGGGACTTCAGTGCTATACTTTTAAAAAGCTCGATTGCTTCTCAATAATGTGTGTGTAAAAATAAAAGCAAACTCAACAGTTTCCTTTGATTTTTATTACTGACTTCAGTTAGGCAGGCTCAATTACATTTTGGTTTTTTTTTTTTAATCAGACGAATAAAGCTTTTTGTAATATCTTGCCTTTCATTAATTTTATGTAAAATCCTTACTTACCCCAACCAAAGAGAACCAGCCACCAGAAATATCTTCTTCCATGAGAAAGGGATGAGAGTAGTAGACAGTTAAGGTAAAGAGCCTCTACCAGCAGCCATATGAAATTGGTCATCATGAAGTAGTGACAGAAAACAACTGAGATCTTGCATTCAGTCTACAGGTAAAGAAAGTCATAATTATGACATAACATGTGGATATGTAAATTATATTTGCAGATGTGTAACATCTAAAGAGCCTAGAAATCTAAAGACCTAAAAAGAGTAGGATCTCACATTTACTGCCATGTTTAAAGCGAGACTGTTGAATGTAATATGGCTTTCTGAAGAGTAGGACTTAACAGCTTGGAGTCTGTACTGTATTTTACTTTCTGTCTCTGTGCTATAAATAAAGCTGGGTCTCCCAGTCATGAGATTTCTCCTACACATGGACTGCTTTAAGTGTAGCTTACACAAGTAGACTGAAATGCTCACTAGCCCTTGGAAATAAGCATATTCAAAGACCCTTCACCTTCTCTGTTTTAAATTTTGTGTGGCCATGAGCAATAAAAAAGAATCAGCTAATTAAGCTCTGTTTGAAAACAACCTTATTGCCAATATTTGTCACTGGTTTAAAGCTAAATTGGTTGTCCACTGTCTTGCACTTTCTGTGGTCTACAGTTTAGAGCTTCGGTTAGAATACAAAATCCAACCTTTCCAGAAAATGAAAAGATGGTATGAGATACTCAAGAGATCTTTGATTTTAAGCTGTAGGTTGTAGAAGAGTAACAGAATAATGGCACTACTCTTTTCTACAGCACAGTCTAAATCTGATTCAGAATACAATAGGATCACAGATAGATGAATTAAGGAGATGGACAGAATATCCACCCTTACAGAAGTGGAACATTAGAACACAGGGCCTGAGGGTACTAATTAGTGTTCACCACCACTAAATAAATAAATACATTTTTAAGAAGCAAAAGAGAAATTAATAGTAAGTCCACACTTACTATAGATGGCATGAAAAAATTATCAAGTACCACAATATCTTGTTTTCAAAGTGCTTACTGTAGAGAAGCTGCAATGGTCAATGCCTTCCTCTTGGAAAAGGACAGAATCCTTAATGAAAATGGCAATAGCCTTTAAGATGAAAGTAAAAAAGAGCTGTATATGGATGTAATTTCTGGGGCAGCGTAGCCTCCTGGAAGGAAAGAAGAAAAGTCCTTCTGAAGTAGTTCACTGACTTGTGCTGGTAGTAACTCAGATGCACAGTAAAGCCTTGTTTCACCTCAGGTATTTCCAGGCAAATATAGAAAGAACTTTTCAATCCACTGAGCAGGTAAACAGGCAGAGACAGAAACCTTCCTCACGTGAAGCAATTCACCCACAGTCTACATCTTCATCTTTTCTCTAGTTAGATCATGGCCTCCTTTTTGTTATGTGTTCATTGTGCCTGAACTAAGATGTTCGATGGTTGGCATTGTTTGGGGACAGTGAGAAACCTGTGCTTGGAGAAGGGACTTCACTGATATAACTTTGATTACAGCTATAGCAATCCCAAGAACAGGCATGCAGAGATACTCTTGTCTAACTAGACAGTTGAACCTCAGTGAAGAGGGTAATGATTATTTAGCAAAGTTTCCTGCATAGCAAAATACTGTGGTTGAGTTAAATTGCATTAAATCTCTGTGTGGATTGCCTTATCAAGAATGCTTCCTTAGCTCACCAAAAATTAATCATATGAATGAAATGAATGCAGATAATTGCTTTAAAACAATTTGGCACATCTGTTTTAAGTTCCCACACTGAGTCAATAGATATTAATTTTTCTGATTGTTACTAAATACAGTCTTTAAAGCTGAATTCCCTTCAGATCCATTAATCTCAGGGTCACCTACTCTTAAAGTTCAGTTAGCGTGTGCAGAATTTTACTACCAAACAGAAATGCCAACCCCATTGTTGGCACTTCACTATAGGTCTTTCCTCCCTATTTCTAAGTCTCTTTCTGTCAATTGTTTCTTTCTTTCCCATTATTTGACTTGGTTTGTTTTCTCAGGGTCAGAATGGATGTCAATACACAAAACTGTTGACTTCCAGACATAAACTAGGAAGCAGAAGAGGTCAAGAAACTTTCCCCAGAGAAAGCTGATTCTCACAGAATAATAAGAAGAGGTAATTAATCTCTATTTTATTATTTTATTTTTCACTCTGCACAAATACAAGAAGTAAGCAAAGATTTGTAAAATAAATCCTATATGGTACCAACCATCAAATCTACACTGAATAAGAATACATGCAATCATTTTTACTGAATTTAATATTACCAAACCAATATAGTCTGAAAGTCTTAAATTTATTCTTCTGAGTTTCTGTTTCTATTACTTTCTCATGTCTAATCATGTCACATATAGACTAAGGCACAAAGAACTGTTAAATGAGTCAAGTTAGAGGATAACTTCACATACCTGAATGCCATAAGAACTGTCACAGCAATAACGAGTGAGGTAATAGACACACTGTATCCTATGGTATATATTATCTTTATCGTAGAAAAGTAGGATTGCTATAAGAGAAGAGAATGATTTGTCACATAAATTGCAGCCAGATGACAGCTGCTTTTCTGATTCTAGCAGTTTTGCTTTATTTGGTGCTTCCAATCTGTTCAGAGCCCTGACAGGCTTTTTTACCCTAATTCCACAGCAAATTTCAACTGAAATCAATCATTAATGTTTCTTTTACGAAGACCCTTTCTATGGGTATGTGAACATAACTCAGTTAGATGAAGAACTTTTTATTAAGTTGGTTTCAAACTCACTCATAAGCCCTGAAAAGACTAAATGAATCTTCTATAATGATACTGAAAAAACTCCATTTTCATAGGCATTGCATTCACACTGTGTTTTCAGCACAGCAGTAGTGAAAAGACAATCCTGCAGGCTGCACAATGAATAAAGAATGCTTTCAGCTTTTCCTTATGGTCTCTCCACTTTCCTTTGCTCTACCTCCTTACTTATAATTTTTCCAGCTTTTCCATTAAAAAAAAAAAAAAAACCACACACACAAAAAGATTTATTATTTTTCTTTTCCTGGGGATGTTTTCTTTCCTTTTTCTTCTTGCTACCATTTTCAATTTGTGACAATCAAAATCCATTTCAATCTTAATGGCACCTCTTATCAGACATGATCTCTGAGTGAGCATTATCTGACTTCAGCTGTCATGCAAGGACACAGAAAACAGAATGAAGAAGCTTTAGGCTGTAGATCTTTCCCTTTTATCTCTTGGCTCTGTCTCTTGGGCCCCCATTCAATATTCTTACATCCTAACAACCATGCAGCTGTGCGGTGTGATTACCTTCAGTTCAAGGTGAGGGATGGATGGCATGTATTTGTTTTGAGCTCTGAGTTTCACCAAAGGCATTATAAGCATGATATTGGGTAGGGCTTATTTCATTTATGTTGGATAATTAGCAGTTAGCTTTCTAAGAAAAAGCCTATTTTAAAATGAGCATGTCCAAGGACTGTGCTGGTTAGATGTTGTCACAGCACTGTTTATGAATAGCTCCTTTTCAGTTAGTGAAGGGAAACAAGCACCTCCAGATGGCAATCCATCTTAGCTGAAGATGAGGCCTGATTGCTTTCCATCACCAAGAGAAGGAACCTATCACTGTGCTCACTTAGCAAGCAGTGCAACTCAGTAGTTCTGGAAGAGCAGAGTGAAACTTCTGGTGTGGAAGACCCAACATGCACATTGGGAGCATTTCCAGAAACCAAGATAGAATCTGTGCTGGACTTCTATTCTTGGTCAGAGCACAATAGGTGCACCTTGCATTAGTCTTTCAGTTTAGTCTTATCCATATGAAAGCAGATCAATCTTTCAACACAGGGGCAATAATTAGGGGCAACCTAGAGGTTTCCTTAAAAAGCTTACACCTGATCCTGACCAAAACACTAACGTAGATCCACCATGGAGTCATTAGCTTAGCCTTACACAAAATAATTTTGTGGTTCATTTTTAGATTGGAAAAGTTAATTGATCTGGGAGCTGCATGAAGTGGTCTTTACTGTCAGGTGGTCTGAAAGGCATTGCTCCATAAGAAGTGTAGGAAAGCTGTGCTGTGCTTGCATTACTTGGCATCTTCCACTTATCAGAGATGAGAAACTCAGCAAGTAGCCTTAAGTAGATAAATATACAAAGTGGGACTTCAGGTAGAGGTAAGTGAGTCACTGCTAAAAAAGAAAGATCTGGAGACTCAAGAAAGGAAGGAAGGGAGGGAGGGAGGGAGGAAGAAAAGAAGGAAGGAAGGGAGGGAGGGAGGAAGAAAGGAAGGAAGGAAGGAAGGGAGGGAGGGAGGGAGAGAGAGAGAGAGAGAGAGAGAGAGAGAAAGAAAAAGAAAAAGAAAGAAAGAAAGAAAGAAAGAAAGAAAAGGATTTTTGTGGAAGTGATTTTTACTGAGAGCAGCAGGTACTGTGCCTCAGAGGCTGGCAAGAAAGTCTGAGTTAAACAACATGACAGCAATCAGCACAAAAAGTAATGGGTAGATGAGACAAATATCTCAATGACAATTTAAACTAAATATATGCAGTATTTTTTTATCTTCATTTGGCACTACATTATTTTTCCTCTGCAGATAAATTCTAAATATCACCCAGTGTGTAAATCTAGATGAAGCAATATGTCATACACAGATATAGACTCTGAAACATATTTTGTTTTTACTTCCTTGTTGATCTAAATATTTTATGTTACTCAGGGTGAGAAACCCTTCGCTCACCCTGTGCATAGATATTGCTGAGCTCAGAGTAGTGGTGTTTTAGCAGTGCACTTGCTGTACTGGTGCTGAGATACCACAAAACCATCTTGCTGACTGATCTTACTGAATTACCCTAATGTATATCATATATATAATGTATATATGAATATTTTGGAAGATAATCTTAACTGTTCTATCTGTAAGCAAGTTCAACACAATTGTGTGATTGCATAGAATTTGCAGCTGAGTTTCTAAACATTACTCTCTTATAGCTGAAAAATAAAGTGTAGTTCCTCAAAATAGGTGTTCAGAGTAAAATTTGAATCACATTCCTTACTTGGTAAGAAACTTCAGCTTCAGCTGAGTTTCCTTCCCCAGTGGTCTTCAGGAATAGAAAGGAATCCTGTACGTCACCACATCACTCACATATGTTTATTTAATTCAACTTACTTCTTGAAGTGGAATCTCATCTTCAACTGGACAAGCAATATGATAGGAAGGGAATGGCTCTGACCAGCCTTTCTTTGTGCAGTTTCTCCTTACTATCCCAGCTGAAAGAGAATCACTTATTCTTACCAATGAAGAGCCACATGTCACAGAAAATAAAAACCACGAGATGTCTTGCTAGTGTGAAGGTGAACTAAGAGAAGAGAACCATGGCCACTGTTATCCCACATTGCTGGCAGGACCATTTGCATGTGTATATCCAGGTAGCCAGGTACAAAAGTTTTAACTTTTTTTCTGGAGATAAACAGCAGAAAGAAGTGAGAGAACCAAGGAGACAGAAGTAGAGGTGAAATGCTAAGAAAGAAATCATAGGAAGGTTGAGAAAGCCCATTGAAGAAGACTGGGAGGTGCTGCTCCATCACTTTTCTGCCTCATTCATCTCTCACCCCTCTAATGTACCCCTTCTTGCTCTCTCATCTCCTTTGGGGCTTACTTTCCTCTGGAGACCAGACACTGGAATAAGAAGTTTGTTCTGTGAGGAAAACACATTTCCATAAGAAGATTTCTGAGTCAGATGAAGGATAAGTGAGAGAATCCCAGAAGAGGAAATGAAACTACGCAGATGAAAGGGATTTTCCTTATCCCCTGTTCATAGCTAGCAAGTGCTGAATGAGGCTGAGGTTGGGGGTTGAAAACTTTTCTTCTGGTGGAACTGCCAAATCTACATATTTCCTGGAAGATCATTTTCTCTTTATGGGATTGCAGTTTGTTCCTGGCCAACTTTATTCAGGCAGTAAGCATTAACATAGGCATTAACTTGCATAGCCTTGTGTTTAACCCAACACAATACATATGCTATTTTAATGACAAGATACTGCTTTCTATTGCCAACCTTGGTCTTAAGAAACAATCAAATAATTCATTCCTCAGCCTTTCATTTCATCCCAGGCTAATCAGAACATAGATCTTACAAAGACCCATGCTTAAGTTCTGACCTAGATGAGTTCTGTGCTAGCTCTGTACAAATTTACCCAGCAAGATCATGAATCCTGGGGAAACCAATGCAAATCACTTGACTGATTTTAGTGTTCTTTGGACCAGGATCTTATCACAGACTATGGGATTACATGTAGCTGTATATCATGCATAGGGCGTGAGATATCTGCTCAGCATCCTCCAATGTGATTGAAATTTTTGCAGTGATGCTCTAATCTGAGTACAGGGCTGAAATTTTTGCCATGTTCTGTCTTCATCAATCATTTTTAGATATGCTTGCCCCAGGCATGCAGCCCAATAATAGTTAGACAACCAAAATAATATATCACCTGGCTCTTCCATGAAGTGAAAGAGGATGTTTGGGCAAGGTAAGGCAAGAGTCTCTCCAGCATCTGCCTCTGGCCAGCACAGTAATTTGTCCCAGGTTTTCTTGCAACCTCAGACAGAAAGTGAAATACATTTTTAAGCATGATTACATTCGAGCAAAATGGAAGATTTTTTTTCTAACTTCGGCCCTCTGCCCCTCACATTTTTTATAAAAATAGTTTAGGCTCAGTATTTATTCTATAGCGAGAGATAAACACCTCCAGATGACCATCTACTCTGTTTTAGTTAGACCCATGAAGCAACACATGAAAATGTGTTTAGGAAATGGGAGGGAGAGTTCTGCTGGAGGACAGACCAAATCACGTCGAGAGGTTATGCCGTTGTTAAAGACCAATGATGCCATGATAGTACTCAGCTAGGGGAAGGAGCAGGACAAAGAAATATCCATTAGACTGTCCGTGTTTGAATGTGAGCAAAATATTAATAAAGAACAATTGAAGTTATGGAAGCAGATGGAAGAGGAATTGAGCAGAGCTCAGGGATGTGAACAGTGAGTATAACAATCAAACATGCATTGACAGAGTCCTGATTCTAGTAGGGTGTTTATTCTCTGTCATTCAATTCATCCCTGTCTAATGGATACCTGATGTTGCATTCCTGCGCTCCTCTGAGTTTTCCAGGCATTCAGCCTCTTTTTTCTTCAGCTCTGCTATAAAATCACATTCTGGATGGACATTCCCAGCAACCTACAGAAAGAGGAAGTTTCAGCTGATCAGGAAGAAAGTTTTGTGAAGGATCTGAGAAGACACGACTCATTTGCTGCCTGACATTAGCCCCTACTAAATCTGGATCGAGGGAGCTAGAATGTTCTCCCTTTCTTGATAGAGAAGGGCACTCAAGACCTGCCAGCTTCTCAGCAGAGACATGTCCCCTCCCAGCCTCCAAAGAAACATCTTGAATCTACATATGATTTTTTTATAAAACTGTCTTCTGAACAAGCTCTTTTCTCCAATAGGAGGGGATCTGTTCTCTATTTTCTGCCATTGGTTGTGGTTGATGAAAAACTGACCATGAGCCCACAGTGTGCTCTTGCAGCTCGGAAGGCCAATGGTATCCTGGGTTCCATCAGTAGTGGGGTTGCCAGCAGGGTGGGAGGGGATTGTTCCCCTCTATTCTCTTATGAGTCCCCCAGTACAGGAAGGATGTGGAGCTTCTGGAGAGGGTACAGAGGAGGCCATAGAGATGATCAGAGGGCTGGAGCACTTTTCCTATTAAGACAGGCTGAAGGAATTGGTTTTATTCAGCCTGAATTACAAGAGGATGTAGGGAGAACTCATTGCAGCCTTCCAATATTATAGTGGAAGATTATAAGCAGGTGGGAAATCAACTTCTTACATGGATAGATAGTGATAAGACAAGGGGGAATAGTTTTAAACTAAAGTAAGGGAGATTTAGATTAGATGTCAGAGGAAAGTTCTTTACTGAGAGAATGGTGAGGTTCTGGAACAGGCTGCCCAGTGAGGCTGTGGCTGCTCCATCCCTGGAGGTGTTTAAGGTCAGGTTGGATGGGGACCTGGGCAATCTGATATACTACTTGATCTAGTGGTTGGCAGCCCTGTCTGCAGGAGAGGAGTTGGAACTCAGTGATCCTTAAGGTCCCTTCCAACTCAATCCAGTCTATGATTCTATGGTCACAAGTTCCACTGCAAGCCTGCTCTGGGCCATAGACCATATGGGTTGACAGTTGAACTAGATGCTCTTAGACTCTTAGAGGTTTATTCCAGACTTAATGATTCTATGATGCCTCAGCCTGACTTTGTCCCAGTCCTGTCTGCTTGGCTCCATCTGATCATTCCAATATATTTTTGGTCCTGATTTCCCTCACTGATCCTGATACTGACCTACAGAGACTGGTTGTCATCCCAGTCTCCCCTGCCTCCATGCTAGAGGTAGTGGGTTGGGTTCTGGCTGGCAAGATCCACCCTTGTGTGCCAGGTTATCATTTATGAAATAAATACAGCATAGAAAAAGTGTAAGTGATCTTCTTGTGCTCATATTTGCATATACTAAGCATATGGGAATTTCCCTCAAATCCTTTTTGAGGGGCAGAAATCAAAGGAATCATGAAACAGGAACGAAACTCTTTTTTAAGAGGATCATGGCTAATATATCAGGTTGTCCTCCAGAAATCTCTTTGCTGATGTGGAAAACTGAAACTGCAAATTAACATCGGTATGTTCCAAATAGAAGATGAATTTACAGCTGCTGTGTTCATTGGTTTCTGCATGGAAGTTGTGGTTTCACATAACCATGGAAAATCAAGCAAATCTTGATTGTCAGAAGCCCTCAGCTGAAGGTCATCTTAGTGTGACAAAAGAAAAACCAAACACAACAGCAAATCAACAAAAAGCCTTTTCCAGATCATACTCTGAAGTGGACATGAAATGCACACAGAGGAAAAAAAGACACTGGTTTTAGTTATTCTAGGCGTTTTCATAACAACATGCAAATGTTGTTATTTTTGCTTTTCCACTGTTTTCTCATCAGGATGGCTCAATATCTCCATTCTTTTCACATTACAGTAAATGTCACACAAGTGATGACAGCAAAGAAGCCTCGGTTTATAGAAGGTGAGAGTCAGCCTCTGAAACATTCAAAACCTCTCCAAAAGTTGACTTCATCTCTTCCAAAGAAAGCACACTATTAGTTTATGCAAACAATGAAAAGAGGTGGCTGTTCTTCAAAAGGCAAAATAACAATTGTTTGCATGTCCTCTGTTACAATAAGATATGTAAATGCACAGTATGGGATTTATATTATATACTTACACATAAACATATGGGTTTTATTCAGTGAATAATCCAAACAGCATCATAACTATCATGACTATATAGAAGAAAACTATTTCTCTTGTATAAATGGGGCACGTTCCTACAGAGACCTTCAGTGATATTACTGATAATGCTATTAACCTGGATCCTGAGATTCCACACAGGAGCAATTATAATCCTCAGAGCACAGGGAAGCAGAGATTGTCACATGGGCAACACAAAGGAAAGCACAGCTTTGCATGAGTAAAAATATTTGCAGTGATTTTGCAGTGCTTTTTTTTCTCTCAATCCACGAAGAATGAACTGCTTTGCCACTCCTCAAGGAACAATCCATCAGGGAAGACGTTCCCTGGGTTCCAATTCAGAGAATATAGCAGAAAGATAGCAAAAGGAAGATGCTAAAAACATCAACTCAAAAGCAAAGAAAATATCCTTCCCCCACTTTTCATACTTTTTCTGCTACTTGTGTGATTCTGCCAGAAGCAAAATATCAGCAGAGCCTCTAAGCTGTCTAAAGTTGTTGGATATTTCTAACTCCACCATAAATATCCCTGATGATTCAACTCATTTGTTACCTTTGGTATCTGAGCTGCTCACATTAAATAATGTTACTGCTACCAAAAAGGCAGATGAAACGAGAACTAATAAGAGTACATATCTGTCAAGGCTCAACTGTTGTAACAACTCTCCTCTACTTTCTTGTTACGTCTTTCAAACCCTACACACACAAAAAAGGGTATTCTGCCAATGATGTTTCTCCTCAGCAAGTTGTAAGAAAGCAGTGAAAGGCACTGAATACACAGATCCTAGAAACTGTGTCCCTTCTGATGCTGTTCACCCTTTTCATAGCTTTTTATCTTGCTTAATTGCAACTTAAAACAAACAAAAAGAAAAAAAAAACTAATTCAAAGAAGTACAGCTATATCCAATCTGATCCAAGGCGAAAACAAGCAATGATTAGAAAACACTGAAGGAAAAGTTAATTTCATGCAATTACTCACAAGCACCGCAAGAGTCAGGGTGCACAGGACGCAGTGGTATGACATGCTAGGATTCGTGTTCCAAAGCAAAGTCAGACTTCAATTCTTTTATCTTCCTTAGCATCTTTCACCTTCCTTTTGGCTTCCCTTTCTCCCATCATTTGCTGATCTGAAGCATTTATCCCTTTAGACAGAAGTGACGTAGCAGCATGGTGAAGTGGGAATTAAATATTAACAACTCCCTAAGCTCATTTAACCTGCTTTCCACATTTTAATTTTTCAGTATACTCAAAGACTGGATGGGTGGATTGAGAGACTGTTTCCAAGATTATCAGAAGATCAGCACCTCCTGAAGAGATGCCACTTTATCTCTCCATGACACAAAATAAGTTTAGGAGGGATAAACAGCTCCGAATGTTGCTAATCTTGCATTTAAACAACATGGCTTGCAAAACACAAACCCACTTCTACCAGCTCTTGTTAATACCAGTTTATTCCAATGAAACATGTTCGTACCGTAGCTTCAGTGAATCTTTGTGTAGGTGTGTTTATATGGAAAATAAGGACCATGGTACTACAATTCAAAATACAAGTTCAAAATCTACTCATAAGCATATGAACCCAAGTTCTGTGGGGCACGTGCTGTAGGTTGATCTAAAGGCAACATCTGCAAGTGATTCTTCTCACTTTTCAAAGTTCAGTGTCTAAATCTAAACTAGTCATCTTTTGTAGTCAGAGTATAGAAATATGTACACTCTGTTCATTCTCTTAAGATGAACCTTAAATCATCATCATAAAATGGTCACAGAATCATTTGAGGAAATTTCACGTGCTAAGTCACTATTCGCGTTAAGATTTCAGGATGGCATACAGAGAAAGGGCTCAGAACAGGTTAAGAGCAAAGAACAGGCTGGTTGGTCCCATCCTACTCCAGAAATATCCATTTTGCCTTCCTGACATAAAAGTGGTCTTTCTCAGATCTAAATATCTAACATCTAGGTGTCATCTGGTCAGCTGTATTCCAACCATCTTGTGTATATATGAAATTTTGTCTTTTGATAGATAATGTCTTGAAGGACACCAGATTCAAAATCAGCATTCATCATATGTTAACACTGTAAAAGCAGAGATACAAGATGTGAAATGCCTTTAAAATTTTCATCTTTCCTGTTTTCTCTCCATATAATTCCATTCCTCCAAATCAGTTCTTAGCCCTAGCTTCCATCTTCCTACAATAGTTTATCCCATATACCTGTTTTCCCCCCTAACATTGCTTTTTCTCCATCTTCCCCAGTTGTTAAATCACATGGCGTTTTACTATTTATATATACAGCTTGGGTAGGGGGTTAACAAGTCCTGACTGACCACAGCTATGAGGAGCACCTTTAAAGTTGTGCTTATGGAGGGATGGACCACACTTGGAAATATTTGTGCAGAATGAAAAGTCTTCAGGGGTTGGCTCTAAGTTGGAGCTGAAAGAGAAGTGAGTGTGTGAAGTGCAGAAGATATCTTCAGAGAGCTGAATTTAGTTGGCAAGCTTTCACAGGGCTGTTGAAAACAAAATTAGACCTGTGTTCCTACCACTATTCATCATCCAGTTCCAGAGGATGAAGCTCTAAACTTACTGGTGTATAACACCCATCAGTGCTTTTACCATGGTCAAATTCCTATAATTTTTCCTAACCTCATTTCAGAAACTACATAATTTGGAGAACTAAAATATTCCCCTGCAGAGGGCTATCATAGAAAAAGCAAACTAAACAAAAAATAATAAAGAACTCAGCCCGTCATGCTAAATTCAATTTTTCAGCTGGCAAATTTATGAAAAAAGTTGGTAAGAGAACATAAAACTGCAGTCTTAATTTGTCATGGTACATGATTTTAAAATAACCTTTGGAAGCAGGATTCAATTCCCACCAGTGTTTTGCTGATTACCTCAAATTACCATTTGAGGAGGTACATAACCTGGTTGTACGACTTTTCAGTAATAAGGCTGGAACAAGGAGCTGTACTGCCTAACTAATATTTAATATCATTATATTCCCTGAAAATCCTGTAAAACCACAGTGGCAGTTGCTGTCATCACAGCTCACACCAGTAGAGGCCTCTCCTTTCTTCTTCACATCCCCTCTTATTTTTTCTCTGCAGAGATTACAGAGCAGCCATCAGGCTTCCTGTAACATGCTAATGCCATTAAGAATAATTGTTTTCACGTTCAAATGATGTTACAAATGGTCTTGGAATATTGTGGCCTATAGACACTTCAACCAGTGTTCAGATAAGACTCATAAGCAGTCCTGTTTCATGTGAGTTACGCCTCAACATTTCACAGGGATGCACATTTTTGTCTTAGAAAAAAAATCGGTTGCCCATGAGTAACTTTTGGTGTACTTTTGTATCAGAAATTTCCATTTCAGCCACAACATCTTTTGTGTTTATTCAGTGCTGTTGAAGTCCTGCCTAAAAAAAAAACAACAAAAAAAAAACCTACAGAAGACTTTGCTTACCACTTTCCAAAGTATCAAAGTATGCAGAGAGCCCAATGGAAAACATCTGTGATGATGTCCATTTTTCAGGGGCAGGGAGCACTGATACAGTGGGGTCTCATTCTGAAATCCACCACACTGAAACACTCATGGCCACAGTTCATTTAGAAAAACCTGACATTTCTGAATTATCAACATTATTTTGCCAATCTGCAGCACAGACATTCCATTAAAATGAGTTCCTTCCTAGCGTCGCTGTTGTGTGCAAATTCCCAGCTGTTTGTGATTAAGGAGAAGGGCACATCTAAAAGAAATGGACTTACTTGTCTTTTTGTTTTTTTCTCCTTAAAAATGACTGTTTTGTCACTGGAAAAAAAAAAAAAAAAGTTTCCGCAGTAACTTACAGAACTTTGAGCTTCTTCATTTTACTGTAAAAGCACATCTGAGGGACTGGTATACCACAGGCACAGACAGAAGTTATCACTTCCAGCCTACTCTGCCCAAACTTTTTCACTCTTGAATATCACCACCCCTGCAAGCCCACTCCCACACTTCTCCTGTGCAGAGACAACTGTTTGATGCTTCAGTAATCACTCCGTTTTCCCTCCACTTATTTTTCTGACATCCATGATCAGCGTGTTCCTGGGCACACTATGCTTCTCTGCCGAGCTCTTTTGAGTGGTGGCAGATTGCCTTTGGGACAGCAGAGCTGTGGTGGAGATATTGAATGTGCAGTGAATGAAATATGCTTCTCCCCATGGGATCTTCAAAGGTGAAAGTCTGACATTTTTGCAGCTCTCCCTAGGATTCTCTCTACAGAATGGCATTAGGCCAGCTTGTGCTACCAGCCTGCTTAGGTTGTAAGCTGCCAACAGCTTTCATAGCAGCTTGTAGCCTCCTCCCAACACTCCTACCTGTTTCTGCACTTTTCTCCCTACACATACAGCAGCATCCCCCAAAGATTCAAAAACATTTTCCCTGCCATTTCTTTCTCTCTCTCACTCTCATCTCTATTACAGTGACCACATTTTCACAGAAGATCAACTCAAAGCAGGCAAAAAGTGGCTGCTTGTTTTATTCGAAACATTTTGTCTATGATGAAAGTGGCAATGTTTGGCAGGAATCAATTCATTACACTTGGATGCTAGAGATTGTGATACAGTAAATGCACAAAAACATAAATTTACCCAAAGCTAGGTGGCCTCTCTAGACAAGTGGATAGATTTCCGCAGGAAACAAGTGCAAGGCTGTAATTATTTCAGATCATCTTTGTTCCTCTCCATGTTATTGAGAACTCAGTATTCATATATACCAGGTTTGCTTTAAGCAAGACTCAGAGTCATATCTCCTGTCACCCTAAGCACCATGCCATTGCATTTAAACATCTGAGAGAGTAAATTGTCCCCTCTACAATCAAAGAAGGCTGGATTTGTAACACAAAAGGTGCTAGATGATTGGGCTAAATTTCATCTATGGTATCCAATGGGGCTGGATGATATACATCCCAAGGTTCTAAAGGAACTGGCTGACTCTCATCATACTTGAAAAGTTGTGGATATTGGGCAAAGTCTGTAGGGACTGGAAAAAAGGAAATGAAATGTCACTCTCATTTACAAGAAAAGGAGGAAGGAGGAATCAAGAGACTACAGGCTGGTGATGCACTGTGCTCAGGAAGACCATGGAACATAAGCCAGCAGTGTGTTCTTGCAGCTCGGAAAGCCAATGGTATCCTGGGCTCCATCAGAAGAGGGGTGGCCAGCAGGGACAGGGAGGTGATTGTCCCTCTCTGCTCTGCTCTCATAGGGCCCAAACTGCAGTACTGCATCCAGGTCTGGGGCCCCCAGTACAAGAAAGACAGGGAGCTGTTGGAGAGGGTCCAGAGGAGCCACAAAGATGATCAGGGGCTGCAGCACCTCCACTACAAAGACAGGCTGAGGGAGCTGGGCTTGTTCAGCCTGGAGAAGAGAAGGCTGTGGGGTGAATCATTGCAGCCTTCCAGTATTTAAAAGAGTATGATAAAAAGGAGGGGAATCAACTTTTTACAAGGGTAGACAGTGATAGGGCAGAGGAAATTGGTTTTGAGCTCAAGGAGGGACGACTTGGATTAGATGTCAGGGGAAGTTCTTCACAGAGAGAGTGGCGAAACTGCCCAGAGAGGCTGTGGATGCCCCGTCCATCCCTGGAGGTGTTCAAGGCCAGGTTGGATGGGGCCCTGGGCAGCCTCATCTAGTACCAGATCTTCAGGTTGGTGACCCTGCCTGTGGCAGGGGGGTTGGAACTTGATGATCACTGAGGTCCCTTCTAACCCAAGCCATCCTATGATTCTGTGATATGATTCAAACAAAAACCACCAGAATACAGTCTAAAATATATGAAGATTAAAAAAAAAATTAATAACATCTAATTGTCTCATGCTACTGGAAGAGTAGAGAAAGCCCTAATAAGCGTACAATAAATGAATATGCTGAGATCTTACGTTTTTTCTAAAAAAAGACAATAATTGCAGCTTTTTTACTGACATTTAGAAAATGAGGAGCTTCCAAAACTAAACATAAACAATTGAAGTTAAATAGCCAAGAG